CTCTGTACTACAGAAATTTCCCTAGAATAATCCAGGGGTGTCCAGTGTTTAGAATCAGCTTTAGCAAGGGGAATCTCAAGTTTTGTAGGCGTAACTTCATTTAGTCAAAATAAAAAACCATTTTGACCGAAAAAGCACATCCAAATGAACGGGAAACAAGTACCTTTAGATGGAGTTGAAATCTATGCAATAAAATGTTGGGTAAAGAGGACACTAAATAGGGGAAATTAGTTAAATCATGTAAATATTTCATCCATATATCCATTGTTCTTACCATGTATATATAAAAGATGGGATTGAATGAATGAATTGTTTATCTTATATTTTCTTTCCTTTTTTCCAGTCATGTAGTGAATCAATTAGCAATCAACTAATCCAAAAATAGGTTGATACTGATCAAAAGAAAAATCTAAAAACAGGTTGATAATCATCTGAAAGCAACTTTCATCATTAATGCTCATTCTGGAAACTCTTTCCATTATCAATTTCATACCAAACATGTTATAGGATGAGCACAAGTAGGGCATCCTCAATATGCAACAAGATACACAAATAATAGTAGAAAGTAGTGACAAGCTGCTTCACAACAGAACCTCAGGTTAATGTTTATTATGCAACATGTGGACAAATCGAACTTCGTGATGCAGATTACAGAATAGTTATGGAACAAAATGAAACGAGTGACTGTACAAAAGGTCGAACAGACACAATAACCTAACCTGTACAACATCTGGAAAAATATTTACAAATGGGGAAACTTAGTACATCCATGACAAATCTTGTTTGAAGGAGACTGACTTTGCAGCTCCTTGCACACCCCTTTCTGATATCTGTGGACAATCCTCCACAACCAACAACTCTAACTTGTAAGATCCAACAAGAGGCTTTAACCCATCATCAGTCACTCCCAAACACTTCCTCAGCCGTAATATACACAATTGAGGAATTTGGCCAGCAAGCTGCAGGCCCTCATCTGTGATCTCTTGGCACCTCACAAGTTCCAAGATTTGGAGATATTGTGCCGAACAAAGAGCTTGCATTCCAACATCATTAAAAGAATACACATGGTCAAGAGCAAGTTCTCTTATTGGACACATTTGTATTAACATTAGTATTCCATTTAATGTAAAGGACGAAAATGAGGGGAACTCCCCGTCAGAGAAAGACAACCTAACTGTATCAAGCAGAGAGCAGTTCTGAGCCACTGCCTTTAGACTTTCATCTGTTAACCGCAACGGATTGTTTTGTAGAAGAGGAAGGGAGAAGTCTGATGGAACCCGGAGAGAGATTGATCGAAGGTTGCTTGATTTCTGGGCCAAACATACGATGTCACAGTCCCTCACCCCAACACACATGTCTAAGTGAATCTTTTCCAAATTCTTGCACTTGCCTATAACACATGCAAGCCCTCTCCCAGGGCTGATAACGCAGTTCACTAAGCTAAGTTCAAGCATGTTCTCACATGGGATCCATTGCTTTTGCCACCGATCAACTGCCAAACGGTCATAAAGCTTCATGTATCTATAGTTGGCATCAACCTCAAATTGCAGTCTCTTCAATTTTCTCCAAGTAGACCCTAGCTTAATCAAATCACCTTCTCCAATCACCCTACAATTTTTGATGCAAAGATCTTCAAGAATTTCATGGTTTCCAAGATATTCTAGCCACTCCATACTACTGACATTAAGACACCTAATCAGGTGAAGCACAATGAGGCCTTTGCAGCCCACAACGAGAGACAGGATGCCACAACCAGTAATTCTGGGGGCAAAGTTCAACTTCAAGGAAGCAAGTTTCGAGCATGAAGCCAAGTAACTCAGACCAGCATCCGTAATGAAAGTACAATAACTCAACACGAGGTCCTTGAGCGAAGGGCAATGACTTGAAAGAATGAGAAGGCCGTGATCATCCAACTGCTTCCCTAACTTGGACATCCAACCAGAGTAGATAATTTCCACTTTCTCCAAGTTACAGAATCTGTTGCATAGAGCAGTTAACGCATCAGAGGCAGGATGTAAACCACACCCCACGCGGATAGATGTCCTCAGCCCATTAGCCAATTTGTGGAAGCGTTTGCAAGTTAGGGATACAGAACTCCTATCAGTGGTTCTCTTAATCCTTCCCAAAATATCCAAGAGTAATTCATCTGGTAAATTATCCATCTGGACTAGACTTCTTTTTCATCAATCTGGTAACAACCTGAAATGCATTTAACATACTTTTACCAAAGATAGGAAGAAACTAAAAACTCAACCTACAAAATTAAAGAAAGAGATCCAAAAAGGTGAACACCCCCCCCCCCTCCCCCCAATACATCTCTCTCTTGAATCATAGGACACTATTAGACACTAATTAATTTCATAAATTGGCAGATCTGAATTGAACCAACAAAAAAGGAGCGCAAAACAGTGATGCAACAACAACAACCACCCATAATCCCACAGGTGGGGACGGGGAGGGTAGGATGTACGCAGCCTACCCTTATCCTGGAAGGGCAGAGAGACTGTTTCCGGTAGACCCTCGGCAAAACAGTGATGAATATAGCATATAGTCAACGGTTTCAACTGGACCCGATATATGTATATACACTAAGTGTTCAACATTATTTCTGATGTGCAATGGTTTCAAAGATTGAACTATGTTACCATTATCAAAAAATATCCAAAGATTGAACTTGTTAAATCGTGGAGCAAAATGTTTTAAAGTCCTTGTTATCCAGAGTAAAAAAGGGAACCTCTCTTCATTACGTAGTGGGAAAAAAATGCAGGGAATCAACCGGCTAGTTTCAGACCATATAGTCAAACTTTTCCGAGCTAATTCAAGCAAAAAGGATGGAAAAGTACTAAATTCTGAAATTCAGATAAGATACCAGTACCACATAATAAGACCTCAAAATCCATTAAAAGAAAAGGCACAAAAACCACGAAGAAAATGGTTAAAACAAAGAATAAACAAAAAACAAAACCAATTAACATCATAAAGAGAGAGATTAAGATTAACTTAACTATTAAAAGAAAGCAAAATATCTAAGTCCTTACTATTCAAAAACGAAAAAAAGAAGCCCTTTCAATTACAAAAGCAAAAACAATCAAGCATCAATCAAATATTCAAATTACTACGCGGTAATTCACGCAAAAACTAAGAAAATTACCAACTTATTTAAAATCAGATGAGATATATTATAACCTGATCGTGAATTTTTCAGAAAATAATGAAGAGGTCAAATGGAGTGAACTTTCGATTGATTTAATGGAATTGAATTAAAAACATAAATATTAATCGCATTTTCATAAGATTATGAATTCATATATATTTCCGGAAATAAGAGGCCAAAAAAGACACTCAATTGAATAGATTCAGGCTTGCATACCGCAGAGCTTTTGCCGAGTTGGGATTCTGACGGTTCTTTTCTGATTGCTATCTGAAATGGATATATGATACTGTTATTTTGAGGATACCAAATCTCCAGTTTACCGTCTGTCTTCACCCAGTTCTCCTCGAGTCTTTCTTTTTTCTTTTTTCTTTTCTCCAGTTCTCACAAAAAAAAAAAAGGGAAAGGTCCAAATATATCGGCCAAATACATATACAACCCATTCTACTTCCATCTCAACCTTGTTCCATTTTGGCCCTTGAACTCTATTTTATATATTTTATTTTGGCCCTCCAACTCTATTTCTTATGTTCCAATTTAACACAAAAATTAAAATCAGTGCAAAAAATATAGCGCGTGTATATACATAAATTTGAGGTGTAATAAATATCCAATTAAATATTGCCACATGATTTTTTTATCCATGTCAAACGGGTCAATACAAAAATACCTGAACCCGACCGTATTTGGATAAAATTAAGTCCCTTCTTATTTACACAAGAAAATGACAACACTGAAAATTAAATCCGAAAATGGTTCACTTACTTTGTTAAATTTACACTCATAAAAGCGTCGATCTGGATTTCTTGGTATCCATGATACTTTCAGTTCAACTTGAAATCCACAAGAACAAATATTCATTCCATTATGAAAAAATAATTTTTTTTGAGACATGGATTCACTTCAACTTCAAGCTTAGAAGAAATAAACCCACAAAAAAAAATCAGAATAAATAAACGAACAATAAAAAAAGTTCGAAATTTTCTGGATGGCCAGGTATCAAATCGGTAGATGAAAACTTTGGAACTTTGAGAATGAAGATGGGCAACATTGGATGAAAAAATACGGTTGGATTCGGGTATTTTAGTATTGACCCGTTTGACATGGATGAAAAAATCAGGTGGCAACATTTAATTGGATATTTATTACACGTCAAATTGTGTATACACACGCGCTATATTTTTTGCATTGATTTCAACTTTTGTGTTAAAGTAAAACATAAAAAATATAGTTGGAGGGCCAAAATGAAACAAGGTTGAGATAGAGTGTCAAAATGAAAAATGGGGCCAAGTTGAATGGGTTGAATATGTATTTGGCCAAATATATCTATAGCATTTGTGATTTGTCCGAGGTCCGTTTGGAAATCACGTGTAATTATTAAGTTGTTTAATTATATATTTTAGTTAGTAATTAGTGTAGTAACTATAATAATTTATTTGTTTATCATAAACTAATTATACTATAATTTCCTTGATCGTACCATTGTAATTATATCATTTAATATTCTTTTATTTTATGTAAAATTAATTATAAAATTAAATAAACTTTTTTAGATGAACTTACAAATATTTTAATGGGTGACAAATATATATGTGTATAAAAAAATATTAAAAATGAGAAGACAGAGAATTTGAAAAATTGTTTCATAAGTACACCCACATGTAGGGGTGGGCGTTTGGTACTTTGCTACGGTATTTAAGAACTACGATTCAATATTTTGGTATTCAATTTATTAATTGGGCATACCAATACCGTAACAAAGTAGATTGGTACGGTTCGATATTTCTTGTTTGGTTCGGTATGGTTCCGGTACGGTTTCAGTACCCAACCAAATATTGATTTCAACAATTAAAATCAAGACCTTCGCATATTCAAATTTTATACCGATATAACATTAATTTACTTTCAGTAATCGGTGGTGCAAGAAGCATTAGCTGCAAAGAATCACTGAATAGACAATTGAGTAATAAACGTCTCTGCAATCAAAAATCACTGAATAGAGTAATACAAATTATAAGAAACACAACTAACAATTGTGAGAAACGAATTCATTACTGAGCAACAGATATTGAACTTTAAACAAACATCAATATTTTGAGAATGAGGATAATAAGAAGTAATTTTAAAGAATATCTAACTATTTTAACTATGTCATTACTGTGTAATGAAATTTGACATAACTTATCCACCTCAACAAGGATTTGACAATAATTTTGTGGCAAAGTGGATTAGGCGTTGTTTACCATATTCTTTTCCACGCTAAATAAGAAACTATTTCTCCTCTAATATACTAAACAGAGAACAATAAAATGTAACCACTTAAGATAAAAATAAAAAGTAATAACAGGTTGAATAGATATCCTAAGTAAAAGTAATCAGAGATCAATAGCAAGTTAACAAGTAAAATGTTGCTGAGTAACAGTTGTCAACTTCGGTATTTTGGTATTTCCGGTTAACCGAAGTATCGAAACTTCAGTACCAAAAACTGTACCCAAGTACCGAACTTTTGAAAAATTTATGCCAAATCAGTACTGAAATATCGAAGAATCGATACCGAAATTGTCACGATCCGGATTTTCCACCCTCGGGAGTCGTGATGGCGCCTACTAATGAGAGCTAGGCAAGTCAAATTTAATTACTTTTTCATTAAATACATAATTCCTTTTAACAATTATCGGCAATAATACAAAAGCAACGAAATTAAATACTCCCTCCGGTCCAAAATAAGTAATTTTTTGGCCTTTTTCTTGTGGTCCAAAATAAGTGATTTTTTCAGATTTCAAGAATGAATTAATTATTTTTTTCCTACATTGTCCTTGAAGTAAATGGTGTTGGAATACGTGTTAGGAGTATTTATGTGAGATAGTAAAGGTTAATATGGTCAATTCTATTGCTAATTAATGCTAAAAGGTGAATTTCTTAATTTGTGTGAAAACATCCAAAAAATCACTTATTTTGGACCGGGGGAAGTAATAAGCGGAACTCTCAATATTATAGAAAACTGAATAGAAATGCGGAAAAATTTCAACAAAGGCCTCTACCCAAGACTGGTGTCACAATACTCACGGACTACTAAGATTTACTACATACAACCGTTTGAAAGAGAGTAACACTGTCTATCTCGAATACAAGAGATAACATATCATAAATAAAGATAGAGGAGATACCGGGCCTGCGGACGCCTGCAAGGCGACCTCGGCGTCTCGGAGGACTGGAGACTGGCTGCCGATCTACCACTGCTGTTGCTGTGCCTGGTTCTGTGCAAAAGAGCACAGAGTGTAGTATCAGCACAACCGACCCCATGTGCTGGTAAGTGCCTAGCCTAACCCCGGCGAAGTAATGACGAGGATAGACAGGACTACCACATCAACTTGTACAGTTATATATGTGTATCTACAACGGAAAAATAACAAGAACAAACATTTTTAAATGGGAGGGGAACATGCTTCGGGGATAGCAAATAATATAGAATTTCAAGAACATCAATAATTTAACTCTAACACGGATAAGGGAAATAAAAGCAAATTTCACTGTCAAAACATATCTCGTTGCAGGCGTGCAACCCGATCCCATTTCTCAATGTTTCCGTGGTAGGCGTACCACCCGCTCCCATTTCATTAAATCAACAGTTCTTCCAAATGAAATTTACTCCAACAAACGCAACAATTTATACGAATTCATAAGACAACAAGTACACAATAATTAGGACTCACTGAAGAAAACAAGTAATGACAAGTAGCAATTAGTTATGGGCTTTAAGGAGCAAATAGGCAATTTAATATTTAGTATGCTAAATGTCAAGTAGCAATTAAATCACATAAACATGTAGCAATTATAGCCTAATTTCAAGGCATAATGTTGCGCAAGGATACCTCGAGCCGATAATAACAAGTAACACAATAAAGGAAAAATGCCAACATAAGGAAACTCAGTAATAGTGGAATAAGACAACTAATGCAATATAAAGGTATACAGAAATCAGTCAGTCAAGAGGGAGGGGAGCATGTTGTAGGGGCTGTAAGAGTTCAGGTATAAAATCAATAAATAAGGAATGAAATAGTACAACTACAATATCAACGAGAGTAGAAAATCAACAGTTGCACGGCACCATCCTTCGTGCTTTTACTCTCGTTCTCACCAAAACAATCATATAAAGTGCACGGCATCACCCTTCGTGCTTTACCTCACAAAATGATGGCAAGGAATGATCCTTCGTGCATAACACTCACATCATGGCACGGAATGTCCCTTCGTGCATTTGTAATCATATCATGGCACGGAATGTTCCTTCGTGCATTAGTATTCATATCATGGCACGGAATGTTCCTTCGTGCATTAGTTTTCATATCACAATCGTGCACGGCATCACCCTTCGTGCTTTATCACTCGTCTTCACCGAAACAACAATCATAAACAATGGGTCAAGGGAATAGACAAACAAAATAGGAATCCCGGCAAGGGAACAATAACAACAATTTCAATATCCCGACAAGGGAGAAAAGTCTACCAAACAACAAAACATACCGGCAAGGGAATAACCAATAACTCATTAGCTTTCTTTTATTTCTTACTTCACATCTCACTTTATCACTTGAGCCAATACTCCCAAGAATTTTACAATTCATAATTTCCTTCTCATACTCTTTCATCACATAGGAATCATCAACTAAGAATGGAAAAACACAACAAGATAAGAATAAACACAACATAAGGACTCACGGTCATGATAGACACCAGTGTATAGATACTCGTCACCATGCCTATACACCGTACTCGACAATTAGCAAGTAGCAAACAAGACTCAACTCCTATTCCCTCAAGCTAAGGTTAAACCAAACACTTACCTCAACTTCCACAGCTAAATCAATCCACAACGACCGCCTTCCCTCTCGAATTCGGCTCCAACTCAATCAAATCTATGAAATAACGACTTTACAACATTAATATAAGCTAAACAAATCGAACCCAATGCCTAAATATAGTTTTCTAAGCTTTCTTCCCAAAATTTCAAAAATCGACCCCGGGCCCGCTTGGTCAAAACCCGAGGTTCTAACCAATTTCATATCACTCATTCCCCCACGAGCCCGAATATACAATTTGTTTTCAAATCTGACCCCAAAACGAGGTCTAAATCAAAGAAAATTGAAAAGCCCTAATTTTACACATTTTTCCCAATTTCCACCCTAATCTATGTGATTTAAGCTTAGAATTTCAGTAATTAATGAAGAAAAATGAAGGAAATAAGTGGGAATTTACTAACCCAAGTGGTTTTGAAGAATGGGGGCTTCAATGGACTCCTAGAAGCTTGGGGAAGAAGAGAGCTCGTGAGAATTAGAGTTAAACCCGTAGCTACTGTTTTGAACATTTTAAAAAAAATCACTGGGCGGA